ATTTCCATGTTGGAGACCGTAGAGAACCGTGAGCAACTGCGACCGGAGGAGTTCCATTACCGACACTTCTCACTCGTTCCTTTGGCGCACGGTCAGGCGAAACGGATGCGGACGGGGGCTGACTTTTGGCGCGCTCTTGCGGCGGTCTTGGAGAAATAGGAACATTGTCTAGGATGAGGCCGTCTGGTATGTCATCTCCATCGTCCTCGTCACACTCGTGTTCAAGCTCGACGATTGTTTTCCGCTCCCGATTGGACTGCCAGCTACTTCGCCGCGGCTTGATGAGCATGTTCGGGTCCTTTGGCGTTAGTGAAAGGCTTGGGCTTGGGCTGCGGCGCCGGCGAGAAAGAGAAAGACTGCTGGACGATCGACTGCCCGTGGGACGTGCAGAGAGAGGACTGATGTAGGCCTCAGACAGCAACTGATTCGTGCTTGTGCTCCTGACGTTGGCGCTCCTGACTTGTGTTTTCAGGCTTGGAAATGGGGGCCGGAACTTGGGCGCGGAGGTGATGTCCCTCTGGGAAGCGAGGGCTCTTGTCTTGCTGAGATCCCTTGACGAGGTGTGAGCTCGAGGAGTCGAAGCGTGCTTAAGGGAAGCGGCCCGGAGATCAGAGGAGTAGCTCGGACTGTATGGATTAGGGGCCATCTTGATCTGAGTGTCTCGTTCGAAATGAACCGCATCATCGTCGAGGCCGATGTCCTCGAAATGGCTGGCATCGGCGAGAACGCTGCTATCGTCGGAGCTGAGGGAATGAAAGGACGATGACTTTGATGATTTGGACGCAGTCATGCCGGGCGGCGAGCCCGGACTGGGCATGACGGCGTCGTCAACTGAGCGCTCGTACACCATCATCTTGACATTGTCGACAGTGAAGTGTCCCAGTTTCTAAAGAAACACCCGCACAATTGAGAATCCTCCCTTGGCAAATCGTTACTCCGGGGTCACTAGTTGCAACCCTCTCTCGACACCTAAAGGCTGAATCCTGACAATCCGGCCCTCTATGTTTATTCTCCAGGCTGTCTAACCAGGACGGGGCCGTTGAGAAAGAAACGGCGGCGATGCGTGATCCGGCGTCGTCGAACAGTCGCAGGATACGACTTCGGGGTGGAGATCGAAGTGGTAGCGGAAGACAGGGAGAAGAGCCGGTGCTCGACTTGGGGTAATTGCCAGTTGGGGAGCAAAAACAGATGTGGGGATGGCGAAGAGGCGTGTTGTGTTTCGCCCTGATATGCAGGGCAGGACAGGACAGGGCAAGGCAGGGCAGGGCGGTGACGGCGTGCCCCTGGATGCGGTGTCAAGTGTCTCACGATTGACCAGGCTGACCAGATCGGACGAAACGCGAGAAGGGATGCGGTGATTATTAATAGTAACTTTAAGGTTGTAGAAATGTCGGTAGATATGCGCAACGAGTGACGAGAAGGATGAACGATCGACGAGAAGACTCGGTACGTGGTGAGTAAGGTTTGTTTGTATGTATGTACGTTTATATGTATGTATGTATGTATGTAGGTAGGTAGGTAGGTAGGCGTATGGATGTTATGTTTGTAGTAGCGATCGTGGGTATTCGATTAGATGGGTAAGGAAGAGTAAGGAGGTAAATACGTAGGTAATAAAAGAAACAGGCAAGTTTAGGTAAGAGACAACAATAAGACAATAGGAGACAGTCCCAGTAGAAGATGACGAGCTGGGGAGGAGAATGAGCAGGAGGATAAGGAGGAAGAGGGCAAGAAATGAGGGTGAAGGGAAAGGAGCGAGCGTGTATGGGGTTTGAATGTACAAATGTTAGACTGCCAGACTACCGGACTACCAGACTACCTAACATGCTAACCTACAGCACTCGACAACGGCTCGGGACTGGATGGATGGATGAACGAGTGGATCAAGTGAAATACAGACAGGCTTGATAGGAGAGAAATTCAGAAGGTAGGTAAGGAGGGGATAGGACGGGATGGGATGGGATGGG